TCCATACTCTGTCTCTACATCAACAGTAAATAGTTTATGAAGATATAGATATTAAAACTTAAACATCCTAATTCCCAATCCTCAGTCACCAAGCCATCTGTTTCCCAGGAAATAACACAGGGAAAAGATGCTTTGTAACAGTCTATGATTCTGTTAACTTCCTATAGCAACACAAATTGGCCTAGACTTGACAATACTGCTTCTTTTCCTTCACACACCTGAAATACAAAGGGTTATAGGGTTTCTTCTCCATGCCAGTCTAGCCCCACACATACAGCAGAATAAGCACTGCATTTGTTAAGCCACTCCTCTGCTCAAAAATCTCCAGTAGCTGCATTACCATCCTCAAGAGCCAGACTCCTCAGCTTGACATAACCCAGCAGCCCCGCCTATCCCAGGCCAACTCTGCTCTCACTTTCCCACCAATACAAACTTCACCATCTAATAAGGCCTATGACCCACGTCTCCCCTCAAATCCCCCCTACCCTTACAAGTTCACAGTGATAGCTCCCTTCTGAAGCTCTGCTTATTCATTGCTGCAAGATTTAGCACAAATCCTTGAGACCCAGTTCTAGTACTGGAGTGCAGAACACATGGTCTTGCCCGCTGTACATCTTGGCTCTGCACCTTTCTCCACTCACAAAAATTGATTCAAGATGGATAAAGGACTTAAATTTAAGGCATGAAATAATAAAAATCAAGAAAGCATGGGAAAAACACTGGAAGATATCAGCCTGGGGAAAAACTTCATGAAGAAGACTGCCTTGGCAATTGCAACAACAAAAAAAATAAACCAATGGGACTTAATTAAACTGAAAAGCTTCTGTACAGCTAAGGAGATAACAACCAAAGCAAATAGACAACCTATACAATAGGAAAGGATATTTTCACATTTTGAATCAGACAAAAGCTTGATAACTAGGATCTATAGAGAACTCAAATTAATCCACATGAAAAAAGCCAACAATGCCATATATCAATGGGCAAGAGACATGAATAGAACCTTCTCTAAAGAAAACAGACAAATGGCTAACACACATATGAAAAAGTGCTCATCATCCCTAATTATTAGAGAAATTCAAATCAAAACTACCCTGAGATACCATCTGATCCCAGCAAGAATGGCCCACATCACAAAATC